TGGAATGGGAAAATATGGGGAGGAGATGGAAGAGATGTTCAGGCTGCTTAGAGAAGGCTTTTGGAAAAGAAAAAGAGGAAGAGAATACTTCAACAGCTGCCTTCAAGCATGTAAGAGGTACTGATAATGAGAAAAAGGGTTTTTTTAAGTGAAGTTTTGCTGTGCTTTGCAAATGAAACCTATTCCCATTTTGGCATGTTCTCCAAAGACTGGGAAAAGATGTATTTTCAGTTAGAATTTATTTTGAATGGAAAGTCATTTCTTTTCATGTAACTCTGAGTGCACTCAGAGGCATCTAGATTTTATACTGGAGATTTTAAGGCAACTTATCTGATATTTTGGACCTTATATAGGGTATTTGGCTGAATTTTGAATTCAAGTCATCTTCCTAGTCTAGCTCAAGAGCATTTCACCATGACTTCCAAATTATTGGACTAAAAATGGAAAAGAGTGCCATGTCTACTAGACAAGTTGCAGTCATTCTGGACTATCACCATAGAGCCCAAAGAACAGCATAGAGAGAGACCATACAAAGGAGAAGTCACATCTAGGGATTCCTAGACACCATTATCCTCTTCATTAATGTGAAGGCTAAAAAGTCTCCCATATGAAACTAGAGATTATTTCAAACCCTGCCTCAATGGATACCCTTTCTTAGCCAGAGAGATCAATGGCAGACATCCATTGTTTGGTTGGAGGCTTTTGTCCAACTTTACCTACAGAGACCAGACCAGGTTCCTGCTGAATCTGCCTGATAGGTGTGGACCTATTTGCTTCTTGAAAATGAAAAAATTCAGAGCACTATGTTAAGGAGACTAAGGGAGAAAGGATGATTTTTAGTCATGGTTAGAACATATCCCTGAAATGACACAAGAATGGATAAATTTGGAAGATTGAGAAAGTAAAGGTCCATGAGGATTGGTATTAGGGGTTATTTTTAGATTTGATGACAGCATATCTCACTGCCTTAGATGGAATAGATGGCAAGGTGGAGAATAGTTAAGATTCATACATTGAATTCATAAACACTGGTCAACAAGATACAAATAAAAAGTGGTTTGAGTGAAAGACATCCAGAGGTAGCCTGTGTTTATGTAGGAAAGACTTGGTGAGTTCACTAGCTTCCTGATCATACTGAAAGCACTGACCCTGGAAGGGGTGATGGGATTAAATATTAATACTGATACATTCACCCTCCTGGAAAAATTCAAACTCCCCAGTTCCTCATTTTCATAGATCAAAGGTTCACTAGCAACTAGGCTGAGAACAGCTTGTCTTCCAGGCACCAAGAAAAATCTTATCCACCCAGGAAAAAAGGGGAAAAAAATGGAGTGGGCTGAAAGTGGGAAGAGGACTTGGATCCCACAAGGAGAAGTGGTCCCTTCTTGTGAAGACAGAACAAGGTGGAGATTTTTATTCATTGAAATTCAATCTGTCACTCCTCAATAAGGAGCTCAGCTCTGGACACGGAAGGGGATGAGCAGACAGAACAGGCCATATTTGGGTGTGATTCAGTCAGAGTCTCTACAGAAATAGGTGACAACCTGAAGGTTCAGTGAAGAGGGTAATGAAGAGATTGTTTCCAAAGGTATAGATGGAATCAAGGAACAAATAAAAGAGGATGAAGTACCAGGGACTAGCAACAGTGGAAAACTACTGTTTCCTCTAGGCCTAGAGGGCAAAGAGTGTCTGAGTTGGTGATCCTCCAGAAGCAGAGCCTGAGACAAGGATGCCAGGGTACAGAGTTTATGTGAGAAGTGAAAGAAACAGCAATAGGGAAGTAAGAAATCACACAGGGAAGGAACAGCTGCCAATAAGAAGGATCAAACCAGTAATTACTATAGGCAATTGGAATTTAACACAGGCCATAAGGTTAGCCGCCTCAGGCCAGGGGAGCCACTGTGGGCCTGAGCTGGGGATGGAGAAACCTCCCAGCTTCGGGTGTTAGAGCCCAAGCAGAGTGGGAAGGGCATCCATGGTGTGGGGGAGGCCAGCACGAACAGTCCGAATCCAAGCTGGCCAGTTCCAGGATTGGACGTCAGAGAGGAGAAGCTGCCATACGGGAGAGGGGGTGCTACCAAGATGAGAGATTGGTGTCATACTCGGAAGTTACCAAGTAAGTAAACATATTAGGATAACAAGAGTCAGGTTTCTCACTGTCATAACAGGGGCAAATAATAGAAAGGATATAGAATAGATCTTGAATGAACCCTGTAGTGGTGTACTGGAATTAAAGGCATAGGTGTGAGCTTATGGATTTCAACATACATAAATAGATACAGAAATAAATATAGATGTAAATGTGCATATGTGTGCATGTACATATGTGTATATACACACATTTACATCTATATTCGTGTGTGCACGCATGCGTGTGTGTCCCAGTTCTGTTCACCGAGGGGCCTAGGAGCAGGGAAATCCCAAATGTAAAGAGCATAACTAATGCCTCGATCTTGGCTTCTAAAAATCATTGCCCACTCAAGCAAATCAGAGCTCCTTGGGGAAACTGCTGATTCCAGCGCTGGGACAGAGAAAACATGAGCTGAGCCTGGAATGCCTTGTTCTGCCAGAAAGCAAGGAGGTGCTGAGAGAATGATGGGGACATGTTAGACACAAGAGACAGTTTAAATAGGCTCCCACTAGCCAAGGATGGGACAATTTAAGCATCTAAACAAAATAATGATAGTAACAAATGCTTACCTATTCAACAAAATAGGAAACTATACAGACATAAATGAACAAATACATTGAAACTTTGACAAGAAACAGAAGATTTACAAAATTTTAAAGTACCTCACATAAACTATTTATTAGCTAAGAAGAGGCAAGAATTCTTTAAGGCAGAGATACTTGACAGACACCACCTTAGTCAAGTGATCAAAATCAACATTATCAGTAATGTAACAAATCAAGGTTGCAAACCACCTCATAGGATGCACTTAAAAGAACAGAGCATCACTTCTGTGTTATTTCTGCCAAACATCAATAACCTGATTTTGATTATGAAGAAACTTCAGACTGACTCAAATCGAGGAACATTCTGCAAAATAACAAAAGAGCCAAGACCATAAATGTCTAGACTGAGGAACTGTCCACACTGAAGGACACGATGGAGGCATGAACACTAAATACAGAGGGAGATTCTGAATGGAATCTTTTGCTATAAAATACATTATGGGACGCCTGGCAAAACTGGAATGCAGCCTGAGGCTCTAATGGTAGCAATATCTCAATGTTTATTTTCTGATGTTGTTGATTGGATTGTGGTTATGGAGGGGAGTGGTCTTGTTTTATAGAAAATACATAGTATTCAGAGGTATTAGGGTATTAGGTCAGAAACTTAGGAAAAGAGCAGTCCTTTTGCTGTACTTCCAAATTTTTTAATAAATTTGTGGTAGTTTCAAACTTTTTTAAAAAAAAAAAAGGAAAGAAAATGAAAAGAGTGACTGACTATTCCAAGTAATGTAACTATCTTCAGAACAAGGTTAAATTTGCAAGTGCTAGCAAAGGCAATCACTTCCCCTCCCCAAAGAAAACACTGTGAGGTAGTTTCAGTTGCCGAATATCAAATGTTTATTTTTTAGCTTTCTACTACTGCTAAAATCCATTTCATGAGTAGCTCCTCTTAAGACCTGTTTTTATTTCACAGAAATTGTATAGTCTAATAACTCCCTTTGGAATGCCCCGCGCTAGCGATGAGGGTGCTCCAGGGTGTAGCTTGGACAACCAGGCCTGGCACCGCCCATGAAGGGCCCCCTCTCCACCCCGACCCCCCACACAGACACATGCAAACCACTCAGGGAACGCCGCTGCAAAACCAGCCGGGTTGTTTAAGTCAGCTGAAAACAGAGAACACCATACTTGATTCAAATTACAAATTCAGTATTGTACTGTACGCATCCAGCATTACACATGCTTAGAACAATATAATAAGTATGCATAATGATACATCAGGTCTCACTTTTGGAAAATACACTATAAGCAGGCAACTACAAATTTGAAGACTACAAAATATCCCCATGTTATGTAAAGTTAGAAATGCTGCATACACGTGGGCTGCTCCAGAAGCTTTTGGCATGCTCACAGGGTGTGGAGGAAATGTTCAGGCTAAGAGTAATCACGTTATGTGTATCTTTCCAACTAAAGGAAGACTATTTTGAAGGGCCAGGCCAGTTTCCAGGCTGAATGGCTTCTAGGAGAGGGTCTCATGCTGATGTTCCCTGATACATTTGTGGATCTTCATAGATCCTGGAAGTATGAATGCAGTCTGACCCACTATGGTTCCCAGGGTTACTTCAGCCTCTAAGGGCAAGAGCACCTGGTTATCCCTGTCACCAGGAAGTCTCCCGACCCTTAGAATTCCACCGAGGTCTGGATGGCTGCTCCAGGCTAACAGGGGTCATTTCACCCTGTCAAGCCCAGAGGCAGTGCAGCTGCAGTTTGTCAGTGACCTCCAGAAACTGCAGCTTTCGTGCTGAATGGATCATTGGCTCTGCAGGACAATGCTTGACAGTTATAGATGGCTTTGTTGGTTTGTTTGTAATTTTAATATGATCTACAAAAATAGCCTAGCTTGTAATTAATAGCACCATGAAAACATAGATGATGGTAGAAAACAGGGTCATAACATGAAAGCACATTTCATTCTGGGCAGTGTTTTGTACCACTAATACCAACAAGTCAATAAAGTAAGCCATTTTAACTGATTTTGGGTAAAAAAAAAAGAAAAGGTGTCTTTCTGAAGCAAAAATATTCTTGTAGGGAGAATGTTCATTAGGCTGCAAATATATAAATATAATATATATTACATATATATTATATATGCAGAGGGTGCCAAAAAAGTGTATACACATTTTAAGAAAGGAAAAAACTATAATACTCAATATATAGTGATAACAAAAGATGAATACAAGTCACGTTTGACTTCTGCAGTTGTCAGAGGTGCTCAAAGTGGTTACCATCAGAGGAATTTTAATACCGCTTTTTCCTTTCTTAAAATGTATATACATGTTTTTTGGAACCCTCTGTATATATTTTATTGAGCAGCAGAGAAAAAATATATAGACATAGCTCCCTACTCAGAGTATCTGTCAAGTAATCATGTAGAAGTATTTTTAAAAGGAAAATTGAGGGCAGAAGGCATGTAAACTCTTGGTGGAGTGGTGGAGTGGTAGGCTGGGGTTCAGAAGTTGGAAAAGAGTGCTGTGTACTAATGTGTTTATACACTATAATTAAACATTTGTACCTCAGAAATAAGATAGCAACAGTTTTGAAGCATCTCCTTCTACTGTCTGATGAGAAAAAGCAATGCCCATCCTACAAGAAGAGGTAGTCTGTTGGTGAAATGCAGACAGATGCTGGCCCTTGGCTGCCTATTTGCTTTGCAGATTCAGTACCCTTGGCATCTTTTAAAAAATTTTGTAGATGTGTTTGTTTTACTGGCTGCATTGCTAGAAGCAGATGTGAAGACAGGATTCCATTCCAGCGAGGTCTGGTTTTTAAGCACACACACATGAGCTGGGCTTTCCATAAAGCTAGTTGCAAGAGGGTGTTTGTTTTGAAAGAACTCAATGGTACCGAGGCAGGCTGTTAAAATCCCTGTTGACTGATATAGTCACTGGTCCAGGTTGAACAAAACACCAGCAGAAGATATACATAGTCAAATCATGTCAGACTCTCCACGGTCCAGGAAATGAGGAAATCTCGCCCTTCAAGTAGAAGGGAATTGGCCAGCCTGGTTCACGCCTGGATGCTAGGGAGTTCCAAGTTACGAGTAACATCTGTAACAAAAATTTAGCATAAATTCTTTGAAAGCTCTCTGTGTGCCAGTTCCCTTAAACAAACTCTCCCTTTTTCTCTGCCTTTTGTAAACACACACACACACACACACACACACACACACACACTCACACACTCATACACACACACACACGCATGCACAAGCACACCCCATCCAAACTCTTCTTTATGCTTCAAGACCCAGCATCACTTCCACGTTTTCCATGAAGTTTTACTCGGTCCACTCTCAACTCCTAGAGCAGATATTATCTGAACTCTATGCTTTGCAGTTCATTGAGTATTTTTGACACGGTCATGTGACTCCACCCTCCATGCAAACACATCACCTCTCCCAATGATTTACAATCTGAAGACAAGGACTGTCTTGGGTCTTTTCCTCCCTCAACCCAAAACACATTACTCAGCACAGTGCTAGTCACATAATAACCAATCAAGAAATATTTGGCAGAGGTGCTGAATCATGCTCTTCTTGGAATTGTGCATGTGTAATGCTTTCACAATACAGAAAAGACCCTGCCTACTCTCAAGAAGCTTACACTCTGGACATTTTCATTTATTTGTTTAAATCTAATTGCAGGACATAGTGCACACTTGGTAGGTGGGGCATGAAACTGCCCACCTCTGATACCAGCCACAGCTGTGGTGGATGCTTCTGTCTATGCTGACTGTTCTAGCACAATCGCCCTATTGTGCATTTTCTGAGTTTCTGCCTCAGGACTTTCTCTGAAGACTTGTGAGCTGGCTCATCCCAAGCACAGGGCACAACCCAGAGATGAGGGAAATTAATATGCCCTGTGGCAACCGCAAAGCAGTGAGAATGGGAACCAGCAGATAAACGTTCCACGTGCCATCCTTCAGAAGAACAACTCTGGGCGACATCTACACTTCTCAGAGGTCCTGTAGCCTCTAGCTGAGGTCTTCATTTGCTTTTCCTCCTTGACCTGTTCCCTCACCCCTTCTTCCTGTGGTCACCTTCCAAATAAACTACTTGCACCCAAGTGTCTGTCTCAGGGTCTGCTTTCAGGCATTCAAACTAAGACACACATTATTACCAGCACAGAAATTGAGAGAAAAGTTGTGCTTTTTGTTTTGTTTTGTTTTGTTTCAATAGCAAAGTTATGAAACACAAGCTCTTTGCTAGTGTCAAAGCCAGAATATTAAATCTCTGGGAACCAAAATATCACTAAATACCTGGATATCATTTCTCTCATCTAAATAATGATGGCCTAAAAGAGCATTTACTTCCCTTCCCATACTTTAATTCCATGATGACAGATGCTATGTTTGTCCCTTTATATAAGTTCTTTGCCACTGTTTTGTGGCAAAAAATGAAGTGCTTTTGTCTCATTTGAGTACGTCATATCATTGCAAACTCAAATGCATAAGACATACATTTTCCACAATAGATGCTTCAAACTTTCTAAACTCCTCAACTTAATGACACTCAACTTGGTAACACACTTAATGGAAAAGGTCACAGTCCCACCTAACTGGCCTTCTGTGGACATCAAACTTCTTTCAACTTGCACATTCTCACAATATCTTCACTGATTCCTCCTCCTTCTTGCTTTTGGTAACACCAGCCAGATCTCTCTTTCAAGTCTCAGTCAAAAATCTTCATCTATCTGTGTATCTCCCACAGGGACTTCCAATTCAATATCAGTTGGAAAGTTGCCTTGATACAATAGTGGTTTATGAACTTTTGTTTGCTTATTTTTAATTATGGTTTATACTCAGAAATCTGTTTTCAATGCACTGCAAAAGCATAAATTCAGTTAAAAGAAAAATTCAGATTTTCACAGAAAATACTAAAATTCAGCCTTCGAGACATTTTTCCTTCTTTTAAAATAAGAAATTAAAATTCTAGGCTTCATGTGGACAATACTCTTCCCTTCCCAAACCCCCAAATGCTGCTGTACCTGTGAATCCAGGCTTTTTAGCTGTGTTCACTGCCGCCATGAACATGTATTCACTGTTAGGGTCATGAACGCTGGGTCGATGCTTCTGAAAGACAAAGTCAGAAGCATGGCTTCCACATCTCCATCCCTGTGGTTTTGGTTTGTTTATTTGTTTTGGTTTATTTGTTGTTTTGTTTTGTTTTTTAACTGTTTTCTATTTTTTTGTTGGAGTGGTATGTCACAAAGTTATAACGCGGCTTAGGCTAAGTAGGACAAGAGTGTGAAAAGGGCTTTAAAATAAAAAGAGCTTTCTGCTGAACTTCCTTATTTTTGCTGTTACTGTTCCTTCCCTAGTAGATTTAGATCATGGGCTCTAATTCATTCTCTTCCTCCTGTATCTCTCTTTTCAAATCCCATTCTGGCATAGGTACACACTGTCTGACCCATGAACACACTGTGGATATACTTGAGTATTAGCATACTTGCATAATATGCAGGATGGTATAAGTTCTTCGAGAACCTGTACTGTGAAAGACTAAAAAGAATATCCCCCAGCACAAAAACATTTTTGTTATTGTCATTGTTTCATCTTTCTGCATAGCTTTTCAGTGGTTTTCTTTTAAAAACAAGGATCCCTAATAACGTGCTATGTAAAGAAGCTGGCCACTTCCTTCTCAGCTACTGCTTGTACTTTATAAGGCCTGCTCACTGGTTGTTTCTTACTTGACCAATTGAGTGAAACATAACTGTCTCATCTTTGCCCTGACCCTTCGGAAGTTTAGAATAAAATTTGCAGCCCACATTAAATGATTTTTTAAAGTCAAAAGCATCTGTTTTTGTTTCAACTTTTCTCCTGACATTGTCTTTCATTTGCCCCCGTTTCTTCATCTTTATTGAATAATGATAACATATCTCTCTGTAAGCCATCGAGTAATTTTTTTATTGAAGCAGCTGTAAAATAAGCTTCTGTCCCAAGTTAGCAGTTTGATTAGTAGGTATATCTTGAAAATAGAAATCATCTATCTGTTGATCAAATTACTCTGGCAAGAGCAATATGTACTTTGATGAGTAAATATCCACTGATATTCCTCAGTAAAGCAGATGCAAGAAAGGATAGAAGTTGCTCACCTTTTGTTTAAGCCAACATAAAAATACGCATCCAACAATGTAGACTACAGCAAAAGCTGCACATCCTATGGGTAACCAGAACTTCAGCTGGCAACAAAACTGTGACTCTGAGTTGGAAAAAAGATATATTAAGAAAAAAGCTCTGAGAATCAAATCTTCTGTTTCATTGCTGTATCACAAGTTATTTTTTCTTTTCTTTCTTTTTTTTTTACCAAATTTAAAAGAGCTATTTAGTCAAATGAAGTTTGTCTTCATTACAACCATGAAATTCAATAAATAGTAAATAACATCAACTTAGTATTAGAGCAAGGATCCAAAAACTAAAACCTAAAAGACTATGCACATATATGTTTACAAATGTGGTTAATAAAAAAGGACTTTTCTGTCTATACTTTTGCAAAAGAGTAAGTAGGAAAAGGAATGATATACAACTAATATTTTCAATCATCTCATTTAATTTCACAAACTGAGCACAAACCAAAACCTTAAACCTTAGGTGACTAGAAGTAATAGCTGTTAAGCTATGGGTTGGGTATTTGCCTTCATTTTTTCCCATGATTTTTAAAGGCATATGTGTTTTAAAGACAACAAGACCTATTTCTAATTCAGCAGTCTACATGATTAAGATGCATATTACTAATTAATACTAATTATTATTACTAATTAAAAATCATCTCTTGCATATTTTCAACAGAAATGATTGCCATCAATTGCACCTGAACGAACTCCAACACAAAAGACTTATTGTTTAGTTGTTTTCATTAGTGTGAAAAGTTGTCAAAATGCATATGTACCCTTATATCCAGAAGATGAAAACAATGTCTTACCGTAAATATGCAAATACTCTTTGCTCATAATCTCCTGAAAAGGAGGGGGTTCAAAAATTGACAGTTTGCATAAGTAATAGCTGGCATGAGAACTGTCCAAGTTATTCAGAAAAAAAGAGACACTATTACTGGATAACTGAGATTGACAGAACTTCAGATGCTGAATGGACACCGTATTTTCATTTTCCTTTGTTTTAGTGAGATCACAGAGTATTTGCTCCCCTTTCAGCAACTGCATTTTAAATTGCTGGACACTCTCATTGTATTTGCATAAAACTTGTACACCTCCATCGTGAAATGCAAACATTTCAGACTTGGCAGAATCATTGATTTCTCCTGGATAAAAAGAAAGAAAGAAAAACAGCTAAAGTGACATTTTATTAATAGGTTACCCTAATAATTATGTTTGAACACAAAAGTAATCTCTTTAAAAAGTTACCTCTATTGCACTCAAATGAAAGAACTTCATAACAACAACAAAAAGAACATGACAATAGTTAAAACCACACCCTAGAAGAAACCTAACCAGAAACTTGTTTGTTACATATGAATATCTAATATGTAATATATTAGGTAATACATTTACATAATATGAATCAACAGGTATGGTTCCTGCCCTTTATCAACTTCCATTTTGGAAACAGATGGAAAACAAATAAATATGTAGTAATGCACCACAATTTGTGCAGAGAATGAAGTACTAATCGAATAAAGGTGATGAGATTGGTTCTAATTTTGATTGGAGAATCAGAAAATGCTACTTTGAGGAAGTGACTTTTGAAATTAAAATTGAAAGAGGATTAGCATTTAGTCAAGCAGGAGGATTTGGGAGAACTATTTGGTTTAAGAAAAACTTTAAAAAGTACAAATAGCTTAAACTAAAAATGAGTGATTATATATAAATATGTATTTACATTAAACCTTCCTGCTAGAGACAGTAAAAAAATAGATGAATCACTTTCAAATGAAAAAAATGTGTGTTCTCTGAACCTCATCTATTGAAAACTGAATCAAGGTCTGATGAAAAATGTAAAACCCCAGATTTTTGCTTGCTTTTTCATTTTTTAAAATAACATTTAAGCTTATAGGAAGCCAAGGTTGTTTTTTGTGAGCTACATAAGGATCACAGAAAGAAGAAACTGAAATGATTTTGGCCTGATTGCTGATTCTAAGTTACTAGATTATATATTCAAACTGCTCTTTGCTTTCGTTTTTCTTTTTCTTTTTTTCATATGAGAAAGTTTCATGCTGAAATTATTTGGGGAAAATTATTAACATGACAGTATTTTACTTAAGTTTTAAAAGCTCTGTCTTTATTTTTTGAGAAGTGTATATTGCAAGTGCAAAAAAATATTTAAGGAAAAAAATTACCTAGTCTTTCAGTGAAATATTTGTGTATTTTTGCTCTTTATATTCCAAATATACACTTGTTTATACAGCAAACATATTAGTTTCTGTTCTGTTATTATTATTTAATGTTATATCATAAAAATTCCATTTTTTACCATAATAGTCACCATAATTATCCTTTTTAATGACTGTATAATGGGCCATAATGTTAATCGACCATAATTTGTTTAAGCATTCTACTAATGTTAAATATTGATTTTTTTTGCATTTTGCTTTTATGTGAATATTGTGACATTTGGTCATGCAGATTATAGCCTACCTTCAAATTACTTCAATGGTCCAGAAAAACCTCAGTTCTTGAACTTTGTTTAAGGTGATTTTGGACTATTATTACCCCTAAGCTTTTGAAAATGAAAAATACAAACTGTTCCAGGAAGAACAGATTTATATCCTAGGCCTCAAATCATATCTACAAATAATATTTAAATACAATGACAGGCATACCATAAAAATACTGGCACAAAGGGAAACAAGATAACAACAGAAACAGACTATAGAAACAAACCCACAATTATATATTTGAATTATCAAATCCACAAAATAAAATAATTGAGCTTACTTTTAAAGAAACAAAAAGCAAATTTGTAATAAAATCTGCAAAATACAGAGAACTAAAAAAAATAAACTAATTTGAAAAAGAACCACCTAGAACTGGCAAAAAAATCACACTAACTGAGATTAAAAAGCCAATGGAAATGTTAAGAGTATTAGACAGAGCTAAAGAGAGAGGTGATGGACTGGAAAATAGGTTAGAAAAATATTTAAAATGCAATCATAATCCACAGATTCAAGAATCCCAACAAATCACAAGCAAATGATTTAAAAATATGCATGTTTACACATAACATAATGAAAATCCTAAAAGCAGCCAGAGAAAAAAGACTACCTTCAAAGAAGCAACTACTAGACTGACAGGTGATATTGCGACATCAACAATAAAAGCCATTATACAGTGGAATTATGTCTTCTATCTCCAATGTGCTAAAAGAAACTACCTGTCAACCTAGAACATGTCTAGAAGGACAGTGAGATCATATGTAACTTGAAATTTTAATAAGTGAAGTATACATGGTATGATTTTCTGCATAATGACTAAAAGAATACAGACAGAATATATAATCTAAATGGTTATTCCGAAGTTCAGTCTGTGGTTTGCATAAAGGGGGAGAGAGTTGGAATCAGGAAAAGAAACAAGAGTGGAAAGGCTTCTGTGTGTTGACAGTGTTTTATTCTTTGACCTGTAGTGATTGTAAGAATGGTTTATAATTATTCATTAGGACATTTATGTTTGTTCACTCTTTATAGATGTTTTGTTCTATAATTTAGAAGTTTTAAAGAAAATAATGCTTGTTTCATTTTAAAAATAAAGGGGATAATGTAGGCAAAAGGCAAAGAGGAAAAAACCAAGAGCATGAGAATAGATGCAGTCTACATTAGTTAAAATGAAAGGTATTTTCCTGGGGACTTACTTGAGTAAGTTATGTTGCACTACTATTATTTTGATGCTTATGTCACTACCATCTGCCACAGAAAATAATACAGTGAGGTAGTCCTCAGTTACTTAAAAACTGTTCAGAATAAACTTCCCAAGAACTTTAGAATAGTAACAAGTAAATCACGAAGAGATCTTGGAGCAAAAGTGTCTGTGGCCACTGTGTGTACACGCAGACTTAAATGCATTGACTTCTATTTCTAAAGATGATTTCTGGGCCAGCCGAGTGGCGCATTGGTTAAGAGCTGGCTTGGGACGCCAGAGGCCCCTGTTTGGATCCCACATATGAGGGCCAGTGACACTGCCCTCTACAGCTAAGATGCTGAACAACAGCTCAACCTGGAGCTGGGCTGCCGTGAGTCGCCGGCGATGGCGTAGGCTGCAGCCCCTGTTGCAGTGGGTTGCCATGGGCTACCGTGTGTAGCCAGCAGCCAGCGTGAGCGGCCAGCAGCCGCCATGAGCGGCCATCCAGAAGCCAGCGAATGATCTGCCTCACCCAGGAAGAGCTCAATAATACCAACATGGGCCAGTGAAGCAATGTCCTCCACAACTAGACTGAAGAGCAAAAGGACAGCAACTTGTCTGTTCCCCTTCCCCCAATTCCCCAGCACTGTTCCCATCCCCCAATTCCCCAATAAAAATCTTTAAAAAAATAAAATAAAATAAAGATGATTTCTTTTTCCTCTTTTGTGTCCACATGATGACTTATAACCCAACACAGGATGAACTGTAATTGTCAGTGGTACAGTATGGTAAAAATCCAATGCAGTGGTTCCCTAGGAAAACAGACAAATTCTGGCTCTGTCATTAGCAAGCCTCCATGACTAGAATACCCCTCTGAACTTCAGTCACTTCTGTGAAATAAAGGAAGTGAGACCCAAACATCTTCAAGTTCTAACATGTACTTTCTGTGGATCCAGGATCAGAACATAGCCCAAATGAGACTACAAACAACCAAGAGAGCTATTGCTGTTCAGTCCTCCAGAGGAGAAATCATGTTTCCATAATCCTCTCTCTGTCCCAGCATCTTACTAGGTTATTCGAGGAAGTCAGGAGAAATGGAAGTGAATGGAACTGTCTTACTTGCCCACAGAAGTATCCAGGAAGACTACCTAAGGTTCTCCTGAGTGACAGTACCAAGGGTGTGCGCCATTGACATCAGAGAAATAACTGGAGATTCCAATGTGTCATTTCCTCTATACATGCTTAATTTTTCATTTTATCATATTTAATCTAAACACACCTAGATCACCTTTTTATTATTAAGTGTAGTGATAAGAAGCCTGACAGATTTCCACATATGAAATGCTTAAGCTCTCCACCTGGAAAACTACTGGGTTGTCGGAAACGTCGTGACACATTTTTGCAACAAAAAACATAGAAAAAAATACATCATGATGTTTCCGACAACCCAATACTTGGCAAATTTAAGTTTGCAATTTGAATGTTTTCAACAAAAGGAACCAGATGTGGCATTTAATCAATTGCTTCATAATTACTTTGGCACCTATAGAACAGATATGTTCAAATGACTAATCACAAATTCTCCTTAGTCTTTGGTGACATATATAAAATAGTATCAAAAGAAGAGATTATCCTCATAACCATGACTCAAGCATTTAGTGGATACACAGACAACTGAAGGAAAATCTAAATGCATTTCTTTCTTATAACTGCAGAAGCAGCTACAATCTTTTCTCCACCGTCCCCCCCCCAGATGTTCTTATCTTTAAGTCTAATATTCAACCAGGAGCACTGATACAATAGTACCATTTTTATAGCTAGTGTCTGTTTAATTGGTTGGATGTCAAATCTGTTTGTACAGTTCCTCTGCCATGCCAGTACTTTAAAAATGTGTGGCCCCTTCACTAGCCTCTTTCTTCTTGCTTTCTTTCTTTCTCCCATGCTAAAATTTTCTTCATATACCACCTCTTAATATAAAATCATCCTCCAAAATACCATCCCCCACACTCTCTTAGATATGTTCCTCACTCTCCCTAACATATTGTCTCCACCTCCAATACCCATAAATTCTCACAAACATTGTCCATGTTACAGACACACTGTAAATATACATCCTCACATTCTCATACATATGTCCTGTAATATAATTCAACCTCTGCCCAGCATCATATGCAGTCAGGTCTAGTAAACTTAGATTCTTTCATGTACAGACAACTGACGGGCCAGACAGGTTAGATTATTTGTCTGAGGTCACATAACTTTTTGTGTTTATGAAAGATTTCAGGTTTAATTTCAGGTTGGAATGCTACTAGCAACAACCAAGAGAAGTGTAATGGAAGCAGGCAACTGTGTGAAGCTAGACAGTGGTCACTACAGACTAAGTCTTATAGGACCACTGTTAGAATCTGTCTATGGGAAGAAGTCTAATTTCCTCGGTCTCTGCTTTATGACCAATAGAATCTATTCACTA